AGATCAAATACAAATGCATGCAGAATATGTAACCTCAGACTTTTAGTAAGATATGCTCTAAACTTTTGACGATACTAGAAAAATAAACCAATGATAGATAACCAATGAAACCTATCTTTGTATTGACTAATATTTCAACACCAGAAATTGTCTATGGAGTTAAACGGTCAAAATAAATTCTATGGTTTTAATGACAAAATATTTGTATATTTCCGACTATAAAAAAGAAAGTAGATACATGTCATGATCTGCGTCATATACATAATTATTTAACATATTACATAAAATTTTATCAAATGTAGCACCGTACAATATGAGTTTAGTATACAATATTAAAATCGCACCATTGCTCGTTCATTTTCTAAGAATACCTATCACATATGAAGGTCAAAATAGTGTAAGCAATTTTGTATATCGCTGGTTCGTTTTGCTATGGAGTCTCCTTGTAGTTAAGCACCTCACTGAAGCACATGCGGGAGGTCCATCGCATATTATGCAGGGCAAGTAGGGTGAAGTGTTTCATTCTGATGCTACATTTTCGATAATTTTCTTGGTCAAAATTCGTTGTCTTCATTGTCAAATATCAATGCAGACTCCAGTTATACTGGAGCTTGAAAAGTCAGTCACATGCTAAAAAGTATGATCCGTACTTAACTTCATAGATTAATGATATTTTATATCAAATAATCGCAAATAAAGGTTAAATGTTTCTAATGAATAAATAAATATAAGCTATAGGCATAATATCACAATTCTAGCACAATCATTCTAAGTCATGAAATATAATCACACAGTAGAATGTCACTCACATCAACTTCAGAACAAAATATCTAGGGTTAAAACAAAATAGTTTAATTCATTGCAGAAAAAACAACATTTTTCCTTAGAATGGAACTCTTTCTTTTGTTTTGATATTTTAACTGTTTTAGTAAAAAATGTCGATAGCATTATACAAAGAGAGAGAGAGAGAGAGAGAGAGAGAGAGAGAGAGAGAGAGAGAGAGAGAGAGAGAGAGAGAGAGAGAGAGAGAGAGAGAGAGAGAGAGAGAGAGAGAGAGAGAGAGAGAGAGAGAGAGAGAGAGAGAGAGAGAGAGAGAGAGAGAGAGAGAGAGAGAGAGAGAGAGAGAGAGAGAGAGAGAGAGAGAGAGAGAGAGAGAGAGAGAGAGAGAGGTACGGAGCTAGTATACTCAAACAATGGGCTACAAAATTAAAAAGGGATTTTGAGGGGTGGGGGTGTGGTAATAGGGAGGTAAATATTTAAGAACAGGATGGATGGAAGGGTGTATTGTCTGGTAGCTGTGATACTGGAAACTTATGCACGACGATCATGTAAGAGACTGGAAACTGATGTAATGATAAATACCAATTCATGAATTCTGTTGTATTTTATCATTGTGTACTGCAGGCGATATATGTTACAATTTACATAAATAAGAGACATTATTCTGTTATCTTTATTGACCTTTTTCAATAATTTCCATTCGATCACATATTTAACAGAAAGCATTTCCCCTTTATTACAAGTTTGGGCTTTATGCTGAACAAGGATTGAGCATTTAGTTTAAGTAAGTTGTGTACAAATATGTTTTTATATACGGAATGACCTGATTGTCAACTTAATCTCGTGTGCTGAAAGGCCATTGACGAATAAATAAAGTCAACTTTATAAATTTAAACGTTGTTATTACTGATCTTATCAAAAATGCAAGTTTGTTTATTCAAAGAAAAATGTATCAATCAGAGCGGAGAATACTTGTCCTTTGAAAGGTATAGAGAGTTATCGTCCTTGCCAAGTAACGTGATTTTCATGGAAGATAGGCCAAATTTCGTGACGTTTTCTTATGTTGTTCATGATCTCCTATAAATAAACTTCATTACTGCCAGCTAATGATTACTTAGACAGTCTAATAAATCATAAATACAATGTCACAAATATAATTAAACCTGCAGCAATATTACGCCGTCAAATCCACTTTCCGACTCGTTAAGTCGTGGTTATTCACCATCAACTTGATAAAAAAGAATATGAATACTTCGACACGGTTTCTGACTTTGAATAAGATTTTGGAATTGATCACATTAAAAACAACATACAATTGTTTCCTTTCCAGTGTTACAGAGCTTGCAGAGAGGACAATCTTTTCGTTTCGCTTTAATAAAACAATTGTACTTAAAGTAATGTGTATCATTCTAAGGGATTTGCAAAGGTTTAACCAGTTCTCATCTTTAAAATCAGAAAGTTCTCCATTCTTTTTTTTTTTTTTTTGCTCATAAATTTTGACGGTTCTCTCTCTGCTTAAAAAAATCATAACATGCTATTGAACCTTTAGTATTTTTAATAGCTATTCAGTGACCTCCTGTTGTTATCGATAATAATAGTAAGCCTTAGCGCTGCCCATGAGCCCAACATAAATATAATTGCATATACTATTAGGAAAGGACTTCAAAATTTCTCCTTATCTGATAGTTTGAAATCATAGAAGGACAGTCTGGGGATTGGGCTGGACATAGAAGACAAGGACCCCCTCCGGAATTGCAGACACAGTGCAACACTAGATCAGGGGAGAACTCCCCTCACGTCGCCAGAGAATCGACTTTAGTCGATTGGACAATGCCCGGCAAAAGGCAGAGTCACTTAGACTAAAAGGCATCATCGCCTTACCATTCTTTCGAACTGAGTGGCGCTTGAATGCCTCCTTTTGAGGGAAAGACACGCCCACTATCCTCCCTTTGGTGTACTTCTAATATAGGACTCATAGAGTCGTCTGTATGGGTGTACGCTCATTTGCATACATAGTACACAGTTTCACTTAAAATGCAATGCAACGAATAAAACCAACCTATCGAGAGGTATTCATGCTTAAAACAACAAATTACGTAGCAATAGTTTCGCGAAAAAAGTTAAATATGGTGATATTTTGAAGATATTGGGTACTGGTGTTGCAGATCTGTTTTACATACGTTCAATATACGTTATCTATCCTGTGATACACAATGATATCATGTAAAAACAATTAATCACAATTAGTTTAACGGAGGTAAAGAGCGATATTTAATTTCACAATTTACGTAATGTAATATCCAACATTAGGCCGCTGTCTAATTTCGTTATATATTCTGAAATTGGTGTATTTGAAATGAACAAATTTGAAACACCGCGAATAAGATTTTTCCTGTTATATATAGAAAACAAAAGCGAGATCAATGATTTTCCTGACACGCATGGGCTGTCACACGAACAAAGCTACCTGAGGTAGTGTTCTGTTAATCCCTTTTTCTTAATCTCTTTTATGTATGTGACTGTGCTGTGTGCGTTACGGAGTTTTTATACACAATTGGAGATCCTTGTGCACGCGGGATGGCCGTGTCCTTATATTTTGGTTTTTGTTAAGGAATTTCCGTAATATTCTACGCATCAGGTTAAACTATATGAGATGAGCGATTCCAACAGTGCCCGTCTTCAAATACGTTTGTCTATTTTTTATTAACTGCTGTAAATTGCATTTGTATTTTGAGAGAGAGAGAGAGAGAGAGAGAGAGAGAGAGAGAGAGAGAGAGAGAGAGAGAGAGAGAGAGAGAGAGAGAGAGAGAGAGAGAGAGAGAGAGGGGGGAGGGGGGAGGGGGGAGGGAGGGAGGAGAATAAATTTCTTGAATGTTAAATTAATCACGAAACATTTTAGGCAGGGACGGGTGTGTTGTTACTTTCTACAGATTAATAATATCGTACACAAAAGACAAAACTGAAATACACAGCCTAGTATACAGTAGTCCTTGTTGATTTTATTAACAACCAGTATTAAGATCTGCGGCTGATAAAGGATGATAAGAGGATGGAGGCTCATTGATCTTAAGTGTTACGGCTCTATCCTTCGATATGGTCAGTTAATTTCTTATCAATATTGTTCTTTTACAAGGTCATTATTCCTTTGTTCTTTAAGATTGCTGTAAACAAGTCTATACCTGCTTCTTTGTTAGATCAATCAAATCGATGATTTTGATCGGAGTCTTTAAAATCTGCAAATTTCGTAGAAAATCAATTTACTCAACAAATCTTGATTATATTGAATTGTTTTATACACATTTTATTATCTTGATTGTTAGTAAATATGAAAAAAAAGTTTTTTCTGTTATCAATACCCCTGTTATCTTTTTGAGCACGTAGCATTACCTAGATATGACAAAGATTTAGATGACAGTCGATAAAGTGGTATCCTATTTTCGACGTGCCTATTTTAGTTATTTAAGAATTTGGAACCAGATCGTAGAAAAATAAAGAAAAAGAAAATTTAGAATGGAAAAATATTAAGTTCCTCGTTACTTCGATAAAAAGTAGGTAAGTTAAAATATTTGCATATACGATGATAATTTTAAATGCCATCAAAGGCGACCGTTACGCCATCTGGTGGGTGTCACTTATGTTTCATTGTTTTTCTGACCAATGAAAGAATTATGTGTATGTATATTGAAGTCGCCGGGAAGTATTCACTTACCACTTAGAATTGAGAGTTGTAAACAAAATGAATTCCTGTCTGTAGCCAGGCAGATAATACAAATACATACACTCTTATCTAGCATAAAACATTTTACATCGCTCTAAACAAACTTTCGGAATCGTTAATCTTTTGAACATAGCCAAATGATATTAGACTCCTCCAAATAACATACACACACATTATTACACACACACACACACACACACACACACACACACACACACACACACACACACACACACAAACACACACACTATCACACAAACACACACACACACCACCACCACCACCACCACCACCACAGACACACACACACACACACACACACACACACACACAATGCTAAACGTATCTATACTTTAAGCGCTATCAACTGAGCATCACAATAGAGGTAATGTAGCATATTGTATCTGCTTTTACACCTGTAACACTGTCGATTGAACACCATTTGGTTGTCAGAGGAAGTATCAGTACATAGGTATCACATGTCAATCATTTACCAGAAGTTTTACCAACCCAAGTCAAACAGGAACCTATCCCAGTGTCGTCGTATAACTTCTTTTATCTGCAAGAAACAAATACACATGTTAGCTGCACTTTCGGTATAAAGCTGTACTTCCGGCATCACAAAATTTAGGCAGTATTAGAACATGGAAAACATCAAATTTCTCTAGAATATTTTTTTTCTTCTTGATAATTTTTTCTGTTGCTATGCTCTTATGAAGTAATAAAACAAAATATTACAGTCAGACTAGTGTCTCTATAGCAGCTATGCTTCTAAAGCTCGTCCATTTATGAATCCAAAATAACAAATTAGATACATGTATATATCCTGTACCACAAATATTTTAGCATTATATTTTCTCAAAAAATAGAAAACATAAAAATAGTCTGCAATATTTTGCAAATGATCTCAAGTTCATTTGCTAGACATAAATCGAATGAGTATCAGCTTCTAAAACCTTTATGATATCCGTATGATAATATCAAATCCTGTATTGTAGTGTCAACAAGAATTGTCATCAAAGAAAATGTCAGTTCAGTTCGAATTTATCTCTACACCTTATAAACTAGTATTGCTTAACTTGTAGACAAGCAAGTTAACAGATTAGATTACAAGTAACTTGACCAGATACAGATGACGGAGTTATCTCCTTAACTATATGTAATGACAACTTCCCTGACTACCTGTGACTTTTACTTGTTGTTTTCCTTTAAAGAACTACTTGTAATGTATCATGTTGTTGTATTAATGATCTAGGTACCTTAACTTCATAATTAAACATCAATTATACCCTTTTTTAAACAAAAAGGAAGGGCTAATTTGTGATGAATGATAACCATCCTGCTTTGAGGAGATATAATCAGCATCTTACCGTAAACAATGTAGAGGAAATGCATTGATGGAATGCTTAATGACATTGTCGTTAAAAGTAAGATAAAATAATAATTCGAATTATCAACTGGTAATGATAAACGTATATTTTATTTGTATTAGCCTTTTACAGAATACTTTGCGTTCGGAGGGGTGGCGAGGGGGAGGGAAGTAGGCTGCTACAGCACAAGCATATGTCTGGAGAGGAGGAAGCGATTGTTCTACACTTGACCAGTTTGTACAATACATGGCAGATATTTGGAAAAGACCAGAGAAAGTGGACAGCTACCAAGGCAGGGGACAAGTGCTTCAGAACAAGAACAGTAACATTATTTGTACAAACACACCATCTGAGTAATCTTTATGTGCGTAATCATGATATAGATCCAAACACTTTATCAAAAACCACGATACACCCTCTCTCTACAATGTATCCTATTGCACATGAATGCGTAACAATTGTGTTGCAATATCATTAATGATATAATTAGATAAGATATCTATATCTCCAATAATTCAATACAGGGTATGATGCATTTAATTTTTCAAACTTTATTTAACTCATTATATACTAAGATATTACTGGTGGCGACCCCTCTTAATCCGCCGCTGAAATAAAGGTATATTTTAGCACTGAATTGTAGTTTATGAGCCATAGGGTAGTATATGTTATTATTAAGCATGAAGGATTGACGGTGTTATTCCATTTAAAACATCTATATGGCACTGTTAGCAGATTTGATTTCACTGGAATATACTGTTTGTCATACGGAGGTGCCAGTTTATCTCATATCTTCTAACCGTTAAAAACTCCATAACAATGTCAGCTCGATCTACGTTTGCACTGTTGTATAAAATTAACCAAGGTAATGTGCTTTAAAATATACTCATGATTTGCTGGATACAATTAATGCACAATTGAAATACGAGTGAAGTTACCATTACAGTACCCCTTTGTGATGATGTGACCATAGCAACCTCTCGCTGATCACGTGACTTGAATGACCTCACGCTGATCATGTGACTGGTTGTTAGATTGTTTTTATTGACAAAATGAATGCTGTTGGCGTGGCAAATACTTGTCAATGGCGTTTGTTATCAATCACCCAGCTTGCAAGTTTATTGCAATAAATACAATCAGAAATATGCATGTAATATTTTCTCTTGTATTTACCGAACACACACGTACCTTGGTATCCAAACTCTCTCTCTATAAATTGCACATATAAAGTTCATATACCGCAAAGTATACTTCTTACATGCAATGTACTATATCTGAATATTACTCACCGACCAGGTTCTACATGAATCCGTCCTTAACCATCTATTTGGATTAATTATTGTTTGAGCTATCATTGGTTTGTGAAGGGCGTCGCACAAATATCTAAAGGCGTATAATTCGTCAATATCAAGTTTATATTGTGTCCTCCATGAAAAATACTGCTTGTATAGTTTTTTGTTAGTACTAAGCATAATAAGATATTTTCCTAACTCTTCTGCGCCATTAAAATCGTGTATATTAATGTAAGTAGATTTAGGAATGTTGCCAGCTTGTTCAGGTGTCCAATTTACAATTGGAACACTTCCCTGCTTCAGGCTTTTCCAGAACTTTTCCGTGATATAATCTCTACAATTAGCATTTTCAAATGCAATACGAAATCTATATTTATTAGAATTACATTCAGCGGTAGGGGTTCTTTGACATGTAAGGTTACCACATCGCCCAAAGAAATCGATATCAATATATTTTTCTAGCTCGCGCAAATATCGATATCTTTGAACGTCGTCCTGACAATCACTAATCACAGCGACCGCCATCTTGGTTTTATGGAGAGAAAAATCCATGTTTTCGTACGTTTCTGCAGCAATCTCTTCTTCCTCGCGTGACAGAGGAAGAAATTCTCCATACGGACTTTGAATAGTAGCATCAGCTCTGTATGTCATGGTCCAGTTGAAAACACGTGACCATGTCGGTCCTGTAAAGTGATGATGGGGTGGAGCTTCCATGTTATATAATACCCAGACCTGATCTGGCCTTCTAAATGAAGGTACTGTTTCCCAAAACCAGAGGTCAATAAAGTGGAAAAGAACAGCATCAGCGCTGCCAAGCTGACTTCGATCTGACGTTGCAGTACATGTATGTTTGCTTCTATTGATTGTTGTTGAAACAGATTCAGCCAAATCCCTAAAAAAATATTTTGTCCATATTAAAAGTTTCTTCGTACTTTTATTAACAAAATTTGTATGATGAAAATAAATTATATTTTCTCCGCAAGTTTTTGTTTGGCAAGTTTCATCATTGATACAGGTATACATCCAAATGTAAACAACACTCAACACTCCAAGAAGCTTGACTGTGTGTTTTCTTGGGATCATTTTTCGTACCATTCCAACTCGTCTATTTATTTTTCAGTGTCTTTCTGGAAGAATAAAAAAAAAGTGCTTAGTCCAAACCATGACATCATATCTGAAAAATTAATCACAATTAAGTAAATATTTATAACAAAAGATCAAACTGATAAGTTTTGACAGTTATTGAAATCGTCATCAGTTAAGATAAACATAATTTTTATCATGTATTTTAGTTAGAAAATTCTATTGAATATTTCCTGTAGAATATTTTATGTGTTTCTACCATTTCGTGTTCCCGAATGATATTTTTTCTTGAAATACCCTTTAATCTCACAAGCAAATTAAGTATTGATGAACCGTTCGCCACATAACACTCTACACAAAAAGTTATATATTCCATCCAAGACTTTGATTCGAACTTAAACTGAAATAAAGTATCGTCCTTATAAAGGACGGATTAATAGAAGGATATTATCGGTATACAATTATGTGTGAAATTTTCTAAAATGAAGGATATTCAAATAGCTTAGAATAACTCAGACGTAAGTGTAAAATGACGGAAAATATTTTATTTGTAAAATGAAATAGGATTCAGTGTTTTAATACATTTTTAAAAATGATATTACACGAAAGAATAAGTTTCCAAAACATATGGCATGCTCATCAATATGAATTTTAACATTTGAAACTTGTTTTATCTGTGTTTAATAGACACTATCTATCAATCGACAAACGTACGTTTTAACGTGCATTGCTGGAGTGTTTATATTTTCGATGAGTCTATTTTTATATACCCGAAAATGGCACAAAATCGCAAAAACATTACATGGAAATTGCATTAAAGGGAAAACTAAAGTCTGATTTATGAATCCATGAAACTACGTTTTTACTTTACTTCAAGCTTCAAGCTTTCGGTAAAATGCGAAATGGTGAATCATTCAAAATAGATAAACTATATTGTAAATGAATGGACTCATAATTTTGTTTTGGTTAAACACTAATTAACCTGTATTATCTAACAATACTGTGTACAAATGTGTAAGGTAGTTATCGTGCTACATTTGTATGTTTATTTTCCTTCACGTCTAGTTAGAATAAAACTACTATATATCAAAATAAAAATAGGCAAAGAAATTAAGCTTGTTTATTATTCATGATACGCCATTAACTAACACCAACTAAAAATAAATCGCTTAAAATCGAAACAGGCTAAATTTCAGTTTTCCTGAATCACGTTTCCGCAGGCTCTGAATATTACGTATTTGATATACATTTGTATAAAAACTATATTGTCGTGTTGCATCATCTCCCACATCCTTGGTATCTTCAGAACAAGCTTCTCGGGGGACAAACCTTTATCGAAATGGTCAGTGTATGAACCGCCATATTGAACTATAGATTTCAAATATTAACTTAACTTACAGAAAGATCGTAATGATGAAAAGTGATGGCTTAATATATTGTATATATACCCTGATAGCATGTTGATTAGTTATTATCAGTAAACGAGCTGGCCGATGTCCTGATGTGCTAACGTGACTTATCATTATTTTTAATTGTATAATATATATAATATATATATATATATACTCTTTGAATATAAAATATGTAAATATATGATAACATTTACAGTCGTGTAAATAATACAAAATATCAGTACATGTGTATTCGTGGGAAGAATGAGTTAATAAACACCAAAGAGATTTAAGACATCATTTGTATAAGCAACAATGGTAGTGGCTTTGTGCTATCTCTAGCAATTTGTTGCAGCTTTCAGTGATAGGTAGGAAGTGTACACGTGCATGGCATTGTCCATATCAGTGTATTTTATACAGTATTCAGTATATCTGAGATTGTACATAATTTGTTGTTTTCCTGGTATCACAGATATACAGCGAAAAACATTAATTTCATTATATATGATACATAACAGTGAAGAAATATTGTTGAACTAACCTTTACATAGTACCGCCTTTCAATACAAATGTATAGTACGTATGAACGTACATAATAAACACATCTACAGGATATACACGTGGCACAGGGACTGCTTTATTTCATGTACATATGTACTTCCGTTTCAGGAAATGTATGAAATTATTTCTTTTATCGCAGGACTACTATTCAATACATACAGTTTGCTGATGATGTCGTGATGGTAAAGATTTATAATATCCATCTGACGGTCGTAAAGTATAGAAATAGTGATCATCACTATCGGTGTATTGTTGCAGTTATTTCAAACCAAAGCGATAATCATGTGCTAGTCTTAGTCTATAGTTTAGTCTAATGTTTAAAGAAACTTCTTAAACAAAACGTCAGCAAGACCGTGATTTACACACAAATTAGGTCCACTCCAAGTGGGAGAGTTGAATTGATAAATAAACGACGTATGTAGTATTTTTGTTTTTGTGAATGTATTTGTCTGTTTACTACTGTTTTCATCGATATTATTTATTTTATCACCCACTGACACGTGACTCGATTACCATCAATAACAATTATGCCTGCAAAATGTTATTATTCGTAGCACAAACTTAAAGATAATACTTATATCAAACGATATTTACATGTGATAATTTTCTAACAAAATACATAATTAGCCCATGGTATGTACTAATTAACCTCAGGTCGTCTCTCGATATACACAATTATTAATGTGTATTTCTTATCTAAAGATATTGAGTATATATAACATCATCATATTGATAAGTTCTTGTTTTTGCCAATGAACATGGTTAATTGTAACATATACAAATATGCATGAATGTAACTTTTGAACATAAACTATCTAACTTGAAAAGGAAGGTATGGCTATATTAGGCAATTATGTACATATGAAACTACGTGCCGGGACTTTTGACTTTTATTAATTATGATTATTAATTATCAGATAATTTATCCGCCTATTTTTTTTTTTTTCCCATATCTTTGTGTCGAGGGATGAGGTTTCTTTGTTTTAATTCTTTCAAGTAATTCGAATCATGTACCGGAATCAAGGGAGAGAACTTTAAACTGGATATACGCTAGTTGTTGAATCCTTTCGTATATAATGTGAAGTTATCAATCTAATAAACCCGTGTATAAGTAACAATACCAACAGACATGCTGTAAAAGATGTTTGCTGATATTTTCGCTAGGCGAAAAGTACTAAACTAGATCAGCATTTTATAAGATACAAACAAATATCTAAAATACAGCTTTCTACCTATGTAGAATTGTTTTCGGGTCAACTGAGAACATTAACCTATTAACATCAGCTATCTACCGGTGAGTTAGTGATGATATTATGACTTTTACACTTGTACTCCAGTTACTTTAAATAGCATCATTTTCATCCGGATTTATCAGTGGTATAACACTTTCGATGTTTTCATTATTTTAATATCAAGTTATTAATATCTAGTATTTATAAGTATCTATTGAAACAACCGAACGACGTCATTAATATTACATCAGTATAATAACGTATGTACTTATTCTCAGGTACATCTCTAAACATGTTTAATAAGGTTCTTCATGATATATATTGCACAGGCTCTATTCACAAATGGTGTTCGATAAGGCGTATCATTTTCTATCTGTTCTAAGGTCTTTGCCCTAATATTAAACATCAGTAAAACCTAAATAAATTTGCATGGAGGAAAAATGAAATTTATTGTAGTTGACCCTGGTTTGGCTCATACACTTGTGCAAAGACTAAATAGTTTTTTATTATTATTATATTTCATGTCGCCATGAGGGCATATTAATTTTCAATTGACATAAGGATCAGAGCTTTACTCTACACAAAGTCTCGACACCTTTTTTTCTACGAATACTGTCTTGGATCGGTTGATTAAATGTTCGTTTCAAACAGGCAATTAGCAATTTTGGATAGAAATCTTAAAATTTCATTTTTTATGGTATGCAATTTCACCTGATTGACTAGCACTAGCGATGACACTAAAAACACAAATCACAATTAACTGCATTGAAGCATATAGAAACTACTGACAGATCAATAAACCTATTATTTTTACCTTTGATGTATCTATCCCTGTATCGAATAGTATTGAATAAATTTACTATACCGACTTTACAGTCCGTCTGTATCAGATTATGCTTGGGCGACTCAACATGTGCTTTCAATTTCATTACGATATTGATCAAGATTGTCAGTGTTATTCTCATTAAATCGTGTGGATGTGTTGCAGGTTAGGTTAGTGCCGACTCAACCGAATTTCACTATTAACGTTTTCAACGTCATAACAATAAACCAGTGTAAATGTAGCAGACAGTTATATAATATTAAATACGTATTTTACTTCATCTTAATGGAGATTTATTTGTAGTACTCGCAATTGAAAAAAAAAAAACACAAAAAGATAAATTTTCCGCAGTTTCAACAATAAAGACACATCTTTAAAAGCTTTAAGACGATATTTTGACTGAATCATATTCTAATCTTGTAGACGCTATCTGCTTGTGCCTTTAAATGAACTACATTTTCCGCACTTACATCATCAATTTTGTATAATAGAATGGTCATCATATGTATAGGAATTGGAAATTGATAAAAATAACAATTTTACGATAATGTGTTCTAGTACATTGTTATCGAATCGCTAAGGCGACCAGCTTTGTAAGTGCTTGAAAACACTTTGTAACCATGCACATAAATAGACGTAGTCAGCATAATTTAATGTAAGTCTTTTTAAAGTAATCTCTATTTCATAGTTTTATATGCTACCTGAACCGTATACAATATCGAAATCAATTTATCACACCTGAGCGAATTCATCGTTTATCCTGTATTACTGCCAATTTATATAAGACAGTGCTTATGCTCTCAGTGTAGTTTATGATTTCGACAATGTTCCTGAAAAAGATGTAAGAGAATTCAGGATTACCCTAGTGATCCGTATAGTCAAAGATGCCAAGAATTAACAGATAACAAGTGTTCGATATACTAGAACACGTCCATAACGAATAGTCACCAATGATTTCGATGATGTAATTATCTATGAAAACATTAGCACCTT